ATACGTCAGGGAGGACGGACGGTAGTGGTTACGTCGGGAAGAAAGGCACACGCGCTCATAACTTGGACCTCATCCGAGCAGGTGAGAGGGAGGGAGAAAGACGCGCCAAAAGCAATGGAGAAAAAAGAGAGAGAGAGGCAGATAGGATGACAGGACAAGGTTAAAAGAATATAATCCTTGAATTACGGAAGGCTGACTCCGGTGATGGCAAGGAAAGCAGCACAGCATTAATGATTTTTGGGTTTTCCAATGAGATTCAAAAACCTGAGGAAAGTTCAAAAATATGGGGGTGGACAGGGGATGGATGTTGAGTGGACAGAAATGAATGCATACTCTCTTTTTTTGTTGTTGTTTGTGGACTGACGAAACTGACAGACACAAGTCAATTTAAGACGGTGCAAAGCACGCATCAAGGAAAGATGTCAGTAAAAGTTTTACATGCACGGACAGGATGAAGAAAGGTCGATAAAGGGAATGAACTAGTCCAGAAACCTTAGTTGGGGTAGTGGCAAGCAGACGATACGAATCAGTTGATTATCAAGACGAAAGACCCGATGGCAATGATGTGACTGAGACGAGGGAATGTATTCCAAACGCGGGTACAGGACTAAGTGAGTAGAAAGAGCTTCGCATGGGGGAAGACGATAGGCATACGCATGACTGCTAGCGGAAGAGTTGTGACACCAGAAATTGGTGAAAAGAGGTATAGGTGGAAGATTTCGACTTTCGTAGATACGAAAGCATTTGGGAGAGATGGGATAGCTGTCAGTATACCGCACAGAAATACCATCAAACGGTTCAAAAGACAGGACCGTTGCAAAAGGGATTTGGGTAAAATAACGCGAGGAATGATGGAGGCAACTGGAAGAAGGGAGATAAATCACGGAAGTCTAGCTGGCAAAAGGGGTCACAGCAATGGAGGAAAACCGCCTCCATTTTTCTCATACAGCAGCGAACAGTAATTCGGCTTTAAATGCCACGGTTTTGTCTGGAGGAGCGAGTGGATATGGGCGAGAAGTCTGCGGGGGGGACCAGAAATTTTGACATGGTACGCGGAGGAGGGGGGGAGAGACCGTCACGAGGTGGCGAGAGGATGTTTGAATGTGGAATGAGAATCATAAGAAGGAACTGTATACAAGATTGTCATGTGTTGAAGATAAAGCATGTACACATTTCATTTCCCTCTTTCTGAAGCAAGAACAAATGCAATTCCGATCGGTAGCTACTGTACAGGATGAAGGCCTGGTCAGAAGACAGAACGTCACACAGAAGAGAAGAGAGGAAGCTTAGTGCTAGGTGTTTTGCCGGAACTAAGATGAGGCGTGCGTGCGAATGCAATTAATTGGATCAACGAGCATCAACGGCCTTGTAGTAACCGGTAACGTTGGTCGTCGACATTTTGGACTCGACGCTTTGAGCCGTAAAAATCGCCAGACGCTGTTTAAGAAGACGCAGCTTGTAGGTCATAACTGCCAAGCGGATCTCGTCGGCGCGACGCTGTGGTGTCCGCATGCCCTTGATGAACTCGTCTAATTCACAAGCAGACTGCGAGGCCGCATTGCTACTGCGTTCGCGTAGTGCAGTCAAAACACGCATTTTGAGAGCTTCGATGGTCTCCCATGCAGTTTGGAATGACTGGTAGAGATCAAGGTAGGTCGGATATAGATTTTCAAACTCGTTACGATAAGCAGAGGCTTCCGTCGAATCGCGAATTTCCGGAAAGAGCCTAAAACCAGATATGCAGTAGGAGATTAGGGTAATGTAATGGTAGGGCATTAAAATGCGCAATGATCAGATTACAGCTAATATATACTGGAATTGGCGGAAACCTTGAAAATTTTTAGAATGAGCTTTTCCGGCAAACGGAAGAGACAGAGTATAACAGCAGAGTAAAGTAATTCAATCGCAGACCAAGACCAGAGTACATCAGTAGAAAAGTGAAACACTGCTTTGACTTTAACACATACGGACAGCAAAATTAGTTTCGACAACAGGAAGGGAATGGACTGCGAATCCAAATTTCAATATGCAGTTCACTGGCATGGCGAGGTGGTAAATTTAACACAAAAACTCACTGCCCTTTTATGGAAGAGGGGAAATTACCTTTCCAATTCGGCTGTTTCCGAAGCAATATCCGAGTAAAGGCACTCTTCGTCCGAGAGTTCTGATGATTTTTCATCCGAACAGTGAGATGGCGGGAAGATGCTCAACATTGACTTGCCTGTAGAGAATGGGACAGTTCATCATTACACTAATACCCATGCACATAAATTGTACTTTGGGAGTCTACCTCTGGTACACTAACAGCCAATTCACTAGAGAAAGAATTGACTAAAGCACAGCGAGAAACAATAACGCAACTGCCTTGTTCTTACTCCTGTGGCAGTGGCGATCCAGAGTTAAGACTACTGAGAATGAGCTGGAACGTAGTAAATGGCCAGAACTTCTACCGTAGTCTTATGAATGCTACACGCGTGTTGGTGCCCTTCATAGATCGAACCAGGTTTCACATTGACACCAGGCCAATGGAACAGGTTGTTCATTGGATACAATTATGACTATCACTATTTCTGAAAATCAGTAGTGACTGCTGTATAAATGATATTATACTGATACCAAGGGAGACTTCTACGACATCAACCTCAATATTCCTCTTCCACATTCATCAATCTCATATAGCAAGACTACGCTATGGCGACTGGAGATGACTTTGGTCATATCAGTTGGCAGTCCGGTCCTCTTAGATGACAACCTTCCCAGCCATGACCTTGGAGGTGCTGCGATAGGCTGCATATGAATCAGCTGGGTCGGAATGCAGAAAGGCTAAGTACAAGCGGCCTTTTCGTCCTAATCTCCCTCCTACTGCGTTCCTTTGGAAAGGCAACTGGAAAATGGGTTGGTGTACTACCGCTTAACAGACAGCTTGTCCGACGTACGAGTAACCAAGTCAACCTACTGTTCATACGATGCAGGCTTCTGCAGTTAACAGCCCAGTGCCACTTATGGCTCAAATGCGTCTGTACAAAAGCAGTATATAGCGGATACAGCAGTTTAATATCAGAATGCAGTTGTTGGGTATTTTTAGAGATATCAAATGCTCGGAGCATGAAATCGTAGCCAATAGTAATTTATGATAACCATGTGGTGCCTGGACAAAAACGGAAGGCTGAGAAACAAACAAGCTGACGACTTGTGTACGTTTCAATAGTGTCTTCGTTAAATTGAAAGCCAATAGTAGTATCACATATGTACCTGACGGCAGTTATGGCAGGCCAGCACAGAAGAACTCGAAGTTTTAGTTAGTGCAATGAGGAACATAGGTGCGCCAAAACATTGGTGACAGACGGACGAAAATGCTCAAATATTATGCTAATAGGTATTTTGCGGATACCGAAGAGCATTTAGGAGCTCTGAATTTCTTAACGACTGTCAGAAATACGAAAACTCAGTATAAAGGCAGAATGGCTAGTAGGAGTTTGATTCGCGTATTGAAGGACAAGGAACAGGGAAGCTATGTTACCAAGCTGTAGATTTCAGGGCTACAATCAATTTTCTTGATAATAGAGTGACGAATAGTGGGTTTCAAATGTAGGAAACAACTAAGGCGTGTTTCAGGGCTTCCAACATTATCAACAAAGGTGAGAGTATGTG